CTGTATTTTGATATATCACTTTAGCCCAGAACACATATATACTGCCTTTAAAAATCCCTTTTTGGCCCAAGTACTTCTGTGGTAATTTTTCCAATAACAGAAATTTCAGAAATGAAGAAATTAATTCAAAATTCTAACAGGAGGTCAAAATTCTAACAGGAGGTCAGTTCAACTAATTTCAATCAAATTCATAGGACCAGCACATACATAGATTCAGACTTCACCTCAAGAAATTTGCAGCTTATTAGGGCTCACAGGGTTTCCTGTTAGTCCAGTATCTCCCACATTAACAAGAGGAAGCCCTGCCGCACCCCTCTACAGAGATAGCCTCATTTTCCTGCAGAAATTCACTCAAAGCAAGTAAGCAAGTGCCATTTAGAGGGTAGTGCAGAGCCCAGGGCCTGCAGGCAGCTTCCACCCTTTTCCTAGCACATCAGGTCTTCCTCTAACAATTTATATGTGGTTTGCTGGTGGGCGATATGTCACAGTGGCTGACTGTAGCTGACAAGTTAGTAATTTGCAGCTCAAAACAAATAATACATTTATAAATAATAGTCCTCCTTGGAAAATCAATTACTGTCCTGAATCTTACAACAAAATTAAACTACAAACTACGGACTGTTAAAGTCACTGAAGAAATCATTGTCATTCATATATATTAAGCTTACTCCAGCAAGCATTATAGCAAACTGTGTTGAAAACAAGAAATATTTCTTTGAGAATTTTTGGAAGACACCAGAGTTTAGTTTAAATTAGTACTTCCTTGAGTGATTTTTTTAAAAATCTCTTTTAACAAACTTCTCACACTTCAAGTACCATAATCACTCAAATATTTCTCAGTAACCACTTGGCACCCAACACTGAGCCTGCTGAAGAGGAAAAATTTCCAGCAATATATGACCATGACAGTTGCAATTAAGACTATCAGAGCTGATTTTTTTTTTGCATTTATAAGTACTTCATATACTTATACTACTATTCAAAATATAGCAGCTCAATTCTCTCATTATTTTTAATCCAACTGGAAAACTGATTGTCTTTGGTTGCAGCAATGGGTATTTTTTTGAAAGCCCAATAAGAAATTGGAATAAGAGAATAGCTCAATTAACACTTTCATTAATTTAACAAACTGTCTCCATTAACTGACCTAACTACCATTTATTTAATATGTACCACATACAAAGGATACAGAAAAGCAGTAACAAGCAAGTAGGACTCTTCAGAAGTTTACACATTAGCAGTGAGTTGACTGAAATTACTTATTTTGAAAGAAAGACAATAGAGTTCCTCAGATCCTAGTCATGTGCCACAAACAGGGTGTGGAAAGCCAAAAGTTAACTCTGACAGTAGTGATACACTCCACTGGTATCCCTTTCTTCCTCACTCTTATTCTCCTCATCCTAGGATTCTTCTTTTTAATTAAAAAGTACAAGATCTTCAAGGTTTGACCCTCACCGATAAACCACACATTAGGGTCGATTAATAGATTTTTAACATAAAATCACTTTAGGTGATAACAAATCTTTTAAGTTCAACCACACAAAATTATTTATCTCTGGGTAACATTCAATCCAAGGACAGAAAGAGAGCAAAATTCTACTGATAGAGTTCCTAAAACCACTCACACTGTCTCAGAGGCCTTCTCACGGAAGTTTCCTATTCCTCTAAGAGGCAATGAAACCATCCCACCTTTCTCTTTTATGTCAAATATAGCATTTTTAAAAGCACCAGCCCATTTGGTCATGATGTATGGCCCACCATAAACACCAACTGGCGAAATAGAGTAAACCTGCAAAATAACACTCTTGGGGAGCGTTCTACAGAGCCCAGGAATCAGGGAAAGACACATTTGTCCAGGATTAGTCTAATCAACCAACTTGAAAAATCACACCAAGCAAAGGAGTTCTACCCTCCTTGACCACCACCCAAGAATCCCTAAGCATGCCCAGGTATAGAGACAGTCTAGACACAATTAAGGACACAGGTTCTAGAGTTGGACTGTCTGGCTGCAGATCCTAGCTCTACACTTAACAGAAATGGTAGCTTCTCTGTGATTCAATTTCCTCATCCATAACTGGATGATAATAGCACCTACTCATAGGACTAAAGAGACAATAAAATGAGATCCCCGTTAAAGAGCTTAGGACAGTTTCTAGCTCACAATACACACTAAGTAAATACATTCTCCTATATCTACTATTTTCAGGGGTTACCTGAACTACCACTAAGTTTCTAAATTGAACTGTTCACAAGACAACTACTACTGTTTGACTAGTTCCTTATTTTGGGCCCACAAGCAACCATATCAGAGCATGGTATTATCCTTATTTTATTGAAAAATAGAAGGTTAGAAGGGTTCAGAAACTCATCTAGATTTATTTAGTTAATAAGTGGTACAGCAATAAAACTTTTGGTCACATTCCAGCAAGATTTGCATTATGTCATCTACCTCTAAAAGCTTAAAAGTATTTTAAAACAAAGTTTCTACATCCTAGCATCACTACTTGCTGAATGAAATTATATTCTAGTAAAATCTCCCAGCCTCCTCCCACTAAATCAGCATACTTATCTATAGAACTAGAAACACCTGACAAATTCTGCTAAAGTATCAAGAACACAAAATTCTTTAACAGAATAAAATAACAAAAAGGAATGAGTAAATCATCGTGATCATTTTAATTAATTGGCTTTAAAAGTTCAAAAGTACTGCAGATCCACAGTATACCAAGTCATTTTCCTTTCAGGATTTGTAATTTGATCCTGCAGAACTATCCACACTCCAACTGGCCTGTATAACATCTCTCTTTCTGTGTTTGCTAAGTGTGTAACAAAATTGACAAGTTAATAGTTACTCCAAATATCCTCTTCAAACCGCTCTTACCCTATTTAGGAAGACTTATTGTTATTTAACTGCCCTAAAAGAACATAATAAAATTTAAAATGAGTATATCATGGTGACTGATCTCATAGATTCTTTTAAAATTTTCATACTGAGATCTAGAAATATTAATAATCATTCAAATTTGCATCTCCAAGTACTTAATGATCTAACAACTTCAAGGAAAAGTGGACAACAACAACCCATATTGGTGAAGACTGTCCCTATCAAATGAACTAGTTACCCAGTTTCCTAAAAATCAGGTTCATAATAAATGTGAATCCATAAGGAGTTTAATATAAAAGGTATGCCTGACTTGTCTAAAAAGTAGTGACATGGATGAGCCAAGTCACATAATTTTACTTCACTTGCCATTTGCCTTACCCAGGCACTACATAGTCTTAGAATTTTTTTTGGTAAACACAAACGAGATAATACAATAGAATTTGTAAGATGAAGTAGAAGAGAACCTAAAATGCATAAATATTTCAAGAATTTATTGCAATTTCAATAACCTGAAACTCCAACTCTCTGAAAGCAGAAGGACAACTGTAAAAGTCAAATATTTATACAGGTGCCTTAAAAGCCACTGCTGGGTGCACACCATCAGCGTTGACATTTACTATCTGTTAAGTGGTTTCAAAGCGCAATAGCACAAGTCAAATAACTGGCTTGGAGTGTGAAGTTTATGACAACTAATACGTCTGGAGAGACTGTGAAGGTGTGATGCTTGTCATAACTTTCATCAAGCCAGCAACAGGCAGCCAAGCTGCAGTGAGACAGAACCTGGACACAGGTGCCTTTTCTCATTTCAGAGGGAAACCTAAACCAATACCTTCATGGATAATTTAACAAGGATTGTTCCATAAATTTATAATGTCTTTTATGACTCCCATAATTGCTTTTTAATATCTTTCAAAAACAATATTCTTAGGGTAAAAGTAACTGAGAATATAAAGTAGAAAGCTATTTCAGCTTTAAATTGGGAAAAGTGGGAATGTTTAATACAGAAAGCACTTAAAGCCATAAACTCCTAAGGCCACATTCCATGTTAGAATTTTCAGAAGTGATAAAATTCCACATGATGAAGTTATCCCTAATGATATAATACTTAAATTTACAATTATGAATACCTTCTATTATTCTTATAATAATTCTAAGGAATGTTCCTTTTAAGGGTAAAAAGAAAAACAGGGTAGAGGAACACCATTTGTGAACGATAAACTTCAGCTCCTGAACTTCTCAGATGATGACTGTTAGGTTTCTCCTTTTCATCTCCGGGCAGGAATAAAACGTGTGTATTGAGAAACAAAATCAGGCTAAGCTCAAGTGAGCATTCCCTAATACCCAAAGTTTACTTCCAATGTTCACTCTACTTCAAAGCAGAATCTGCCTGTTTAAGGTATGAGAGTAATTTCAAGTTTTCAGGCGAGGACTAACATTAGGAAGTAAAACTTCAAAAACAAGAACAAGTGTTTCTAAGATACGAGAGGCACGGCCAACTTACACCCACTACTCCAGGCCCAGCCCGGAATGGGATCCCAGTCCCTCTCATTTCCAGGACGCCCGGCCTGGCTGGGAGTGCACACAATCGAAAACTTGCAGTCAAGACTTGAGAATCGAGGATGGCCAGAGAGATGCCACAAGTGGCTTGGACGGTTAGTTCCTCACCTTGCACTTAGGCCCCGGGAGGTCCCACCCCATCCTTGCCTCTTAGAGGTCGAGGATGCCCCGCAGCCTCAATTTGGGTAATTTTAAGAGGCGAGCTGGGGACAGAGCTAAGGTGGCCCCCTCTGGGTCCGTTACTAGAGGAGTGCTGGCCCAAAGCACCTGGCCCTTCCCTCACGGCTGGGAGTGTCTGAGAGGTCCCGAGGGACGTCAGAAAGGCAGTGGGCAAAGGGGCCCTGGAGGGGCAGCCCAACCGAGCTCTCCAGGGCGTCTGGCCGGCTGACTCAGCCAGGCCTAGGCGGGCGGTTCCGCGCCCTCCCGCGACCCCGCCGGGTACGGGGACATGCGACGCCCCACGTCCCCAGTGCCGCCGATCGCGCAGGTCTCCGGGACAACAGCCGCAGCCGCACTTCCGAGGCGGCTCCCGCGCCCACCCCGGGGCCCGGCCGCCCACCTGTCCCGGGGGTCGATCCAGCTGGTCCTCCTGGTGTTGTGGTCAATGTAGAAGACCTTGCCGTCGTAGTCCCTGGCCTCCTCCCAGCCCCGGGGTAGCGGCAGCTGCCCGCTCCCGGCCCTCCTAGGCATGGTCGTCGGCCTCGCCGGCGAGAGGCGCCTCCATAGGCACCGAGCGCGGGACGCGGCGGGGACGCGGCGGGAACGCAACTGCCCGGCCCGGCCGCTGCCCCCGACGCGGACGCCGACGAGGGGCTGCGGGGCGCGGCGGGGCCACGCGCGGGGGGCGCCTCAGGAAACCCTGCTCTCGGCCCCGCTGGGAGTCAGTCCACCATGTCTGCGTCGAAGCAGGCGAGCGAATCCTCCTCCTCCTCCTCCTCGCCGCCGCGGCCGCTGCCTCCGCCTCTTCCTCCTCCTCCTCCTCCTCCTCCTCCTCCTCCCCGTCCCCCTGTGGCCGCAGAGGGTCGTGACGCCCAGGCTGCCCGGGCCGACGCCGTCCGGGCTCAGATCCGTGAAGCTCCGCGAAGCAGCGGCCCTGGCGGCCACCGGCCCTCTCATTTGCATTTCATTAGCATGGCCCCGCCCTGGCCGGCGCGCGGCTCATCTGCATGCACATTCCTCGCCGCCACATTCCTGGGCTTAACCCTGCGGAGCCCGGGGCTCGCCGCCCAGCCTGGACTCCGAGCCGAGCCGGGGGCGGGGACGGGGGCCTGGGGACCAGGTGGGAGGGAGGAGGGCGAAGGAATGCACGGATTGCTCCTTCCCCTGGATTCCAAACTTCTCCCTACAGCCAAACTCAGGGATTTTAGAGTTTCGGGACGAGAAAGTTTGCCAGAGAGAAGTCTCCGCAACCTTCTCAACCTCTTTCCGTCCTCTAGGGAAACCACAAGACTTTCGAGAGGAAAGGGGTGGGGAAGCTGTCATGGGAAGAAGTCCCAACTCCCGGCCGGGGCGCAAAGGCTCCCCCACGCCACGCCCTGGGCCTTTCGGAACCGGGGGTTGGTGAGGGGAGTGCGAGTGACACCTAAAGTTGCGCCCCGGGGCCAATGAAGGGGGCCTGGCCCTCGGTGACCTCGGAGAGACCTCGGGCCTCGCGGCGGAAAGCGAAGGCGGGTTCCGCGCTCGGAGAGCCCGCGACGACGCGCACGCCCCAGCGGCCGGCGGGGAACTCCGACCCGACCCGGAGAAGCGACCCGGCCGCCCGCCACCCGCAGGCCTAGGGCGCAGAGTCACCCGCGCTTCCCGGGCCCCGTCGGGACGTTCCACCCGCGGGGCTCTCCCAGCCACGGAGGCCCCTCTGTCTCTGACCTCTCCTGCTAGGTCTAGGACAGAGGGGCTTGGACGCGACCAGCACCCAGTCCCTTCCATCCAGCCGCCCGCCCTGGGAAATTCCCCACCCCAACCCTGGACAAAGCCAAGGATGTGTGGGCGACCACGCTGGAGGGAATTCAAGGAGGGGGGGGGGGGGCGGGCCCAGACGTTTTTTGACCCTGAGTCCATACAGGATGGGACGCAGATCTTCTCTCAGGAGGATTTGTTTTTTCAGGAGCTGCTACGTGAATTTCTGCACTGAAAGGCCATGCTTCGAACTCCAGATAGAACCTTGCTGGGAACAGCAGGATTGGAGCGTCCTGGAAAGGAACATTAAGTGTGCCCAGCGCTCAGAATAGGAAGAAGCCTCCCAGCCCCCAGACTCTTCTCATATACCACCGTCCCCCATTCGTATTCTTCTTTTAGAACATTATCACACCTGGAAGACAGGCCCCGAGCCTAGCCATTGGTATGAATTCACATAATCCTGCCTGCTAATGCGTAATGACTTCCCACCTCCTGCAGGACTCTGCGCTGGGCCAAGGCTTTCTAAGGATCTGGAGAAACTTGTCCTTCTCCGCCTGGGTTCATAGACCTTTGAGGGCACGAACTGCCTCTGGGCGGTAGAACCTGCCCCGGGGGTAGGGGTGGGGACAGTCCCCAGACCGTGGTCAGGGCATTTGTGGTCAGTCTCAGTCTCGAGGGCTGATGCTGAACGATAAGGATAGAGGTGGCTCAGGCAAGGAACAAGCTTCACCGAGAGGTCTGGACTCTCCTCGGGCAACTGTCTTAGTATAAGGAAAGGATTTCGTATTTGCACCTGAAGCAGTCTAGATTGAAGCAGAAACTTTAAACCACCAGAAACTTTGGAGAGCTTGGAGCTCATGAGAAGGAGCAACAGAATAAGCAGGAGGTAGGGAAGAGAGATGCCCAGGGCGAAATCGCTCACTTCGGCTATCTTTCTAGGTCTTCCTCAATTCCACCTCGGCCTGCAGAAGCTAAGCTTTGCGCATAGTAAAGTCTTCAACCCCTAACCTGTTTTCTGCCCCGCACCATTAATCTGGAGATGATCTTGCAAGGTCCTAGTCCAAAGGGGAAAGAGCCAGCTGGGTAGGCTTACAGTTGAACTTTTGAATGCTGTGAAGAAGACGGGCCTGTTTACAATTAATCTCACTCACACTACTGAGTGGCTGTACTTTGTTTTGGACTGCCCTAAATTGGTCCACTTGCAAGGCCCAAATTTGCAGTGTGGTGTACTAATAACATCAATCAGACCAAACCATTCTTACTTAAACAGTGCTTCCTGGCTTTTCTTTCTTCCCTCAAACAATTTTAAAACGTTTATTATGCTAAACTGTCAACATCCTACTATTAAAAAACAACAAAGTGACATTTTCCCTTGTCATAATTTAACTTGTTTCACTGAGATGAACTACTACACAATAGTACTCAGTATAATTTCAAATTTGGTAAACTTTCAACTAAATATTACTATCAAAACACTAAAAATGATAAGGAATCTAAAATAAACCATGACCTTAAATGCCATTTATTGTTCCATAAATCTTCAGACTTCAAAAAGAAGTGCTAAACAGACAAACTCCAAAGCAATGGAGAGCTCAGTTCTCTCCCACTGATTGGCACAGGAAACATTTGGTCATACAAAAGCAGTTAAAACGACAGAAAGAAGAATGGCTGATCTACAGCCTTTTTTGTTTTGATCAAATTTGAACTCTGCTGTTCTGATTTCACATGATCTATGCAGGAGCATCCCTTCATAGAGTCCCTAGTGGTTCAGACAATGAAACTTCATTTATATTCATATCTGAGAAAAGAAAACGAATGTGAAAATTATCCCCAGTTAGAAATGGATATATTTAGATTTGATTTGGGCTCCTGCTTATCCTTGGCAAAGAAAGATGATACAATCGGCTGTTTTACAAGCTAGATTACCATGTATTGGCCACTGAAGGGTCTATTCCCTGGCCCTCAAAATTTCCTTTCTCCTGGCTTTACATTTTCTCCAGTGCTATCAATTTGTAACAATCAGATGCTGCTGTCAGTGTCCCAATCCTGGGTGGCAGGAAAATTAGTGATATAAAACGTAAGAGACAGTGAAAATTATTTCAAAAGATCATCTTTTTATACCCAAATTTAAAGTGTGTATAACCTTTAACCCAGCAATCCATGTGCAATGATTTTAATGGATACTAAAGTTCCTGAAGATATTCCACGATGTTCATTTGCAGCATGTTGGAAAATAATGAAACTGGAAAAATCACCAGCGGCCATCAGTAAGGGACTGATTAAATGAGTTATAAATTATGCATATTGAGCAAGTATTTTTAAAGCATTAGGTAAACGCCTATGTGCTGGAAAGATGTCCAGGTTATATTAAGTGGAAAAAAGCAAAGTGTAAAAAGACACTTGCTGGCTAACTTCAGTGAAGTTACTATCCAGTTCAAGAAGTAGGACCAATCAAAAATGTAAAGAATGGGCAGGGGATTTGGCTCAGTGGCGCCCATGCCTGCCTCGAAAGTGCAAGGTCCTGAGTTCAATCCCCAGTACCAAAAAATAAAAAATGTAAAGCACAGAAATGTCCTGTACACTTACTCTGTATCAAAGGAATGACACATAGAGAAAATTTTTATAGAAGATGGGGGCTGTTGGGGAACCATATACAAGAGGTAAATGATCAATAAGGAAAAGGGATGGGGTAGAGGTGAGCACAGATGTGCTACCAGAATGGATAGGCATGGCTGGGCATGTTTGTGCAAAGAAATAAATGTGCAAAGTTCAAAGATGAATCTGTCATGAAGGAGCCCAAGACTGGCTGGAGCCTAAAGTTAAGGAGGCTGTAGTGATAGTGTAGGTATGAGAGAGATAAGGGCTGGGATTAGAAATAAGGCAATGAAGGATGAAAAGGAATGATCTGGCAAGAATTTGAGACTGATTAGATTAAAACAGGAGAGGCAAATAGAGTAGGAGGAGGATTCTGGGATGGAGCCAAGATTTTAGGCTATTGAGAGAGACTCCAAAATCCCGGGAAAAAATGAGGAAGTCCAAAGGGGGATCTGATACAGGGTTTAATTCTAGAAATTAGAGATACACAGCAGAAAGTTAAAGTCAGTCAGGAATGAAACTCAAATGAAAGGTCAGGATTGCAAACAGATGGTGGATGTCACCACCTGAAGTTCAGAGAGAGCTGAGGTTCCTGGAATGAGTCTTAGGAAGGAAATGTCAGTGCAAGTGCAAAAACAGAATTAAGTAACCCATCTGTAGTCCTGCTTTTGGCCTCTAACTCTTCAGTAATGTGATATGACTTTGTTTATTTCTTTATGGTCTCCATTTTCAGTGATGTGTGTAAGAAATAGTTGTTAGTGTAGAAACCATCTTTGAATGAATTATTGTTATAGCCTTTATTGTTGTGCTGGTGAATCAACTCTGCGCAGGACAAGATGAACTGGTTTTCAATATTTTAATACCCTTGTTTTCTCAAGTAGATCAAGGATTATATAAACTGGAAATTCCAAATGAAAAGAACATAAAGAGAACATTCTTTTTTTCTAAATCAAACCAGAAGCACTTTTTTTTTTTTGGCTCTTCTGCAAATGAACTGGTTAAAATAAATACTATCTCTACTTATTATAAATAGGTTACCCTAGCTGACAATGCCTAAATTTTATTGTCTAGACCGTCCTTAAGAAGACAAGCATGTGATCTTCAAGAATTTCCAGTGTGGGGCCAAACCAGATCCTAGATTACCATAACCATTTCCCTTCTGGTTAATTATTATACCAACACCTTAAGCAAAAACAATCATTCCAATTCAATAATAATCAAGATCAGGGCTGGGGATTTAGCTCAGTGGTTCCACCGCTTGCCTCACAAGCACAAGGACCCGAGATCGATCCCCA